CTTATTGTCAAATTGTGCTAATTCTAATTGCACACCATCTCTGGCTTCTCTGTACTCATCCAGTTGTCCTCCTCTTCTGCCTTTAATCTCTTCTCTCCTGGATTACTGTAACAGCTTCAAAGAAAATTGGTGCCTCTTCTCTCCAAATCATCCTCCACCCAATTCCCAAAATATGCCTCCTGAGGTATGGATCTGAGCATGTCATTTCCCATCTCAAAATACTCCTTATTCCCTAATAAAATACAAACTCTTCACTCTGGTATTTAAGACCATCTACAACCTACTTTTTCAGCTTTATTTCACACTACTTTCTTTTTATGCAATCTACACTTTAGCTAAACTGTACTAATGACTAGTCTTCAAAATTAGAATTCCATCCCTAGCCTCTCTGCATTCTTATATACTTTCCTCCATGTCTAGAATAATCTTTTATTTATTCATTCATTCATTTATTTATTTTTATTTTCTATCTCTCAGAACCCTTATTTCCCTTCAAGGCTCATCTCAGGTATTAAGTCTTCTGTGAAACCTTCTCTAGTACCCTAGTTGTTAATGATTTCTCCTCCCTTTAACTGTCCTATATTTACTTATATATGTACATGCTGCATCTCCCAGTAGAATGTGAGTTCCTGTTTTATTTTTGTCTTTGTAACTACAGATGAGTGCCTTCCAAAACTGTATTTTTCATGTTTGTTTAGTTGAAATGAATCCCTGGAAGTCATATTTATATTTTTAGTAAAATCTAAAGCTAACCTACATTGCTACTGGAGTAGGTAATGAAATCTAATGATATTAGAGTACATTTTCTGCTAGAATGTGATCCTCTAAGCTTTCCTAAATTCTGAATCTATTAAAGTATAAACACTTAAAAATATTTCATGACATAATGATAATTAGAAATGACTTACTTTTTCACTGTAGCTTTCTAATGATTATAGACTTTATAGTCCTTTACTTTATCCTTCTTTTATGAGCTGAACAAGAAGCTTACATGGTAAAAGATTAGAACTCATGAAGCATTCCATGCAAGTGCTTCTCTCCTCTACCTTCTCTCTATGTGTACATATACACACTTATACACAGAATTATATACTTATTGGATTTAAAAACTAAGACTCAGCATACTCCAATTGATAAATGGCCAAAGGATATATACAGGCAGTTTTCAGAGGAAGAAATTAAAGCTCAATAGTGACATGAAAAAATCTTCTAAATAACTATTGATTAGAGAAATGAAAATCAAAACGACATTGAGGTACAACATCACACCTATCAAATTGGCTAACATGACAAAACAGGACAATGATAAATGTTGGAGAAGATGTGGGAAAACTGGAACACTAATACGTTGTTGGTGGAGTTGTGAACTGATCCAATCATTCTGGAGAGCAATTTCAAACTATGCCCAAAGGGCTGTAAAATTGTGCATACCCTTTGACTCAGCAATACCACTTCTAGGTCTGTATCCCAAAGAGATCATAGAAACAGGAAAAGGACAAACATGCACAAAAAAATATTACAGCAGCTCTTTTTGTGGTGGCAAAGAATTGGAAATTGGGGGATGCCCATCAATTGGGAAATGGCTGAACAAGTTGTGGCATACGAATATAATTGGAATACCATTGTGCTATAAGAAATGATGAGCAGGAGGGCTTCAGGAAAACCTAGAAAGACTTACATAAACTGAGCTGAGTGAAATGAGCAGAACCAGGAGAACACTGTACACAGTAACAGCCACCCTGTCCGATGACTGACTTTGATAGACTTGGCTCTTCTCTGCAATGCAAGGATCTAAAACAACTCCAAAAGACTCATGATGGAAAATGCTATCCACATCCAGAGAAAAAATTACGGAGTCTGAATATAGATGGAAGCATACTATTTGCTCTCCTTTTCCTTTGTTATTTTGTTTTATTGCTTCATTCTCGTGGCTTCTCCCATTAGTTCTAATTATTCTTTACATCATGACTAATGGGAAAATATGCTTAATATAAATGTAGAAGTAGAGCCTATATGAGATTGCATGCTGTCCTGGGGAAGGAAGAGGAAAGCGAGTGGGAGAAAATTTAAAACTCAAAATCTTATGGAAATGAATGTTGAAAATTAAAAATAAATAAATTGTTAAAAAAAACCCCTAAGACTGAGAGAATAAAAAACAACAAGTTTGAATTCTTTAAATGTATGTACTGATTTAAAATAAGGTCCAAGAGGAAATTCTGTAACAAGGAAAAGTTAACAGGGACCTGTGTTGTCCTGCTAAGGAGGCTAAAAATATAAATCAGTCAATTGATCAACAAGCATTTATGAAGCACCAGTGCCAGGCACTGTGCTAAGTGCTGGGGATACAAAAAAAGGTAAAAACAATTCCTGCTGTCAAGAAGCACATAGTATAATTGGGAAGACAACACGCAAACAACTATGTACAAAGAAGTTATATACAGGATATATGGGAAATAATTTCAGAGGAAAGGCATTAAGAATAAGGAGGACTGAGAAAGGATTCTAGAAGATGGGACTGTAGGTGAGACTTTAAGGAAAGTAAGAGGCAGAGATGCACAAGGGCCAGTGAAAATGCTCAAAGTCAGACAACTGGAGTGCCATGTTCAAGGAACAACAACAAAGAGGCCAGTGTCACTGGTTTTCAGAACATGCAGAGGAAAGTAAGGTATAAAAATACTGGAAAGGAAGGAAGGGGTCAGATTACGAAGGGCTTTAAAAGCCAAATGGAGGATTTTCTATTTATTCCTGAAGATTAGGTAGGGAGAAACTTGTGTTAAGTAAGACAAACCAGCAGGCTATAGCAATAGTCCAGGAACGAGGTAATAAGGGTGGGTAGTAGTGTCAAATAATAGAGGAATTATTATTCTGGCTTAACTAAAGACTGGAGATGTTTGTATTTTGTATGTAGACATTTGGGTGGATGGGAGAGGGATAGCTTATAATACTTTTTGCCCAAAAAATTAAGTTTATTGATATTCACATATTGAGCCCTCTCACTTTCATCTGAACAATTCTAATGATTCTGGAGATAGTTTTTGAGATCTTCTTGATAATGTAAAAAATATGATAAAATGCTTGGGCCAAAATTAAATTATAAACAAATGATCAATTATAACAGATTAACCTTTTTCTAAAATTTCCTCATGCTTGCATAAGATTTGAGATAGCAATGCTCTCCTTTCATTCAATATCCTAGTAGAAAGAAAAAAAAAGTAACTTGTTTAGAGAAGAGCTTTAGGTTTGACTTGTTCTTTACTGAATTCAGGTTAAATTAGTAAATGAAAAGAATGGTGTAGATTACTACAGAACTTTATGAGCAGAGCTAAATAAAGCCATCATTATGTTTTATATTTCACTGAATAATGTATTTCATTCATTAACGTGTACATGGTAATTCCAATTAAAAGATTGAATGATTTTTTTTTAATTTCTAAAGATCAAATATTTAAGAAAAAAAAGAAAAATATAGTACATAAATCAATTAGAGAGAAATAAGTAGACTGAAAAGGAGTCTTTCTGGGAATGTTGTGTAAAGACCACATTTTTATATGGACTAAATTAAAACTGTAGGTCAATATTTGTATTCAAATCAACAAATGTTAACTATTCACTATGTATATACACCAAACTAAGCATAGAGGGTGGCTAAAATGAATAAATCACAGTTGGACATGCTAATAAATTATTAGGGAAAATTAAACTTGTAATCAAATAATAATAATATAATATATACTATAATATAATAATAGGCAGAATTAAATGCTAGAAGAGAAGAACAAAAGAACTGCTAAAAGGAGAATGGTAAGAGGATGAAACTGAAGAAAGGTTTCATGATCAGGTGGTATTTGAGTTGGGCTAGGAATGATGATTTCTTTTTGAATTATTGTCTTAGTGAATACTAAAACTGTTACCAGACGAATATCATATGTGAGTTTTTCTTAGAAAAAGACAAATGGTATCCATGAAAAAATCTTTATCCATTATAACACAATCTAGGTCATCCATAATTAGTGGATTGTGAATTTTCCCTTTCATATTTAATAATGTATACTACAGAAGCCCCCCGAAGGACAGATATAACTTTTAAGAAAAACCTGAATTTATAAAATAGATGATTTAGAAGTATCTATATTACATTAAAAGGTTGACAATGGTCCCTTTAAATAGTGTTTTTCTTAATACAAAGTAATATTCAATTTGCCAAATATTTTTTTTTAAGATTTACAAGTATTTCAAGAACACATTTATTTTGCAAAATGGTTAGAAACTGCAGTGTTTCTAATGGTGACAGTACAGTAATCACTTGGTAGGAGTGGAAGGAATCATGGCTCCTTAGATAAAGACTTACGTATATTTTCATGTAAATAAGCCAAAGTATTTAGAAAATAGCCCTTTCCACTTTTTGTGCTCAAATGTTTTTATGTATATGTATATACACACCTCTACAGATAAACTCAAATATCCATCTATAAAGATCTATAACAGAATTAGAATTCTCTCCAAGTTACATAATCAACTTTTCAAATAATATATAATTTTGTTCCTCAGTGTTATATGTTATATTGGTGTTGACAATACAATATTTCCTAATTTATTAACTGGAAGGAAAAATAGATATATTGGAAATAATAGCTTATATATTTATAGGCTACTAGATAAATCATGTAGAACAAGACAAGAACTTAGTACTACCTCTTCATTTTAGAGATGAGGAAAATGATGTCTAATGAGCTCAACTGACTTGTCTAATCTTAAACAGGTATTAAGTGGCAGGGACAGAATATAAACCCAGATTCTGATTAAGAGTACTCATTCCACTGTTAAACCGTACAATATCCCGTAGCACACGCACTGCATGAATGTCTTATTAGAAGAGGTTTTAAACTTGATCATGCAAGGTCCTCAGACAAGTCATCACCATGGTATGAAGAACCAAAAATATATGGATCCCCAGAGGAGAAATTACCTTTGAAAAAACTAATAATATTTTTGCCATTTACCTGGAGATTTTCACAAGTTTCTTGACTATAGGTGAGTCTCTGAATTTCCGTAGGTGAGACAAGATACAAAGCTTGTCCATTGTTAGTGAAACAGAATGTTCTTGCTATCCTCATATTGGTAAGTGGCAGGTAATACACATCCAATAGTGGCCTTAAACTTGGCAAACTTGAGAAAAGAATTAAAATATTATTAATAATAAATAAGAGTAGATGTTAGTCTCAAAAAAGATTAACTTTTTACTTCAGTTTATAATATCTTTTTTATCACTGTTAACTAGAACACTAGTAAGCCTGACCTTTAAAATATGAAACCCAATTAATATTAACCAAAAAAAATTTAAAGATGAAATCCTTAAAACAGATGTACTGAGGGAACCAAAGATTAATTCATTAATAGGCATTTTGCTTAAGTATCACAAAGATGGTACTGAAGTAAAAATTCTTCTATGCAATAAACATTAATTGCATTCCTCAAGATTCTATTCTTGAAAGAGGAATGAAGTTTTAATTGCTTAATAGGAAGTTGCAATTATTACAGTTGTATGTGATAACATCATTAGCACATTATTATTGTATAACTTCTGTCTATACAGGTTAGACAATAAGGGAGCTTGATAGATAATTTAAAGGTACCCCCATCTAAACTCTTCTTGTTCCTGGAAATGGAAGTCCAGGGCAAGAACTGTTTCTTGTTTGTGTATTTGTATCCCTCAGCTTCTAGCAGAATGCCTACTATAAATGCCTCTTGAAATGGATTGAAGCTATTAACTACTGATACAGATAGAAGATAATTCTGTTTTTCAAAATAGTACCTTATGTATTCTGATGTAATTCATACAGTCACACAATATTTATTAAAACACATTAATATTTTTTTTTAAAATTAAAACACTTTCCAGCTCCTAGTAATTTGAATGATTTTCCTTTGCCAATGCTTGTAAATCACAACTTATTTGATATTTCGTGTTTTATGTGACACACACACACACACACACACACACACACACACACACACACACACACTCCCCTCCCCCAATTCAAGAAACTCCAATGACTCTCTATCACCTCTAGGATAAAATGCAAAATTCTTTGGCATTCAAAGCCCTTCATTAACTAACCCCCCCACTTTTCCTGTTTTGTTACACCTTACACTCTATCAAGTCCTCTTTGATTCAGTGACAAGGGCCTCCTGGCTATTCCTTGAACAAGACATCCCATCTTTCTGCATATTTTTATTGGCTGTCCTCCATGCCCTGAATGCTCTCTCTCTTCATCTCTACTTGACTGCTTCCCTGGCTTCCTTGAAGTACCAGTTTTTTAAAATTCTACCTTGTATAAGCTTCTATAGGTAGTCTTTCCTAATCCCTTTTAATTCTAGGGCCCTCCCTGTGTTGATTATTTTCCTATTCATCCTTTATTAGCTTGTTTGTACATAGGTGCTTGTATGTTGTCTCCCTCAGGAGATTGTGAGTTCAAGGGCAGGGACTGCCTTTTGCCTTTTTCTTGTATCCTCAGTGCTAAGCAAGTACTTGACATACAGTAGGCACTTAAAGGCTTAAAGACTGATTTTAGGTTAGGTGAATTTTAGTTAAATTTCTTTACAGGTTTCTATAAAAAAGTTCTTGTGGAATTACTTGAGGATCAAGAAGAACTGTTCCATCATCTACTGATATCTTCTTCCCCATAGGTATATCCTCATCAAAGCAAGGAGGTACAACAGTATACTGTAGAAAGGAAGACTAGAATCTGGGTCCCAATCACAGTTTTTAAACTTACTTGTCCATGGTCACAGAATAAGTTCATAAAACTCTCCGATCCTTAGCTTTATTAGCTGTAAAATGAGCAAAATTATCCTTCCACTCTACCTATTTCATAGGATACATTCATTCATTGGATAAGTGTTCATGAAGTCCCTCCTATGTGCTAGGCTTTAGAACACATAAGTATATATACACACACATTGCAAAGTAATTTTTGGCAGGGTGGTGGGTAGGATATCAGGATAGGCCTACTACAAGGAGTGACAAAACAAATATTACAGAAGGCAGGCATTCAAAGATTTGAAGGTCAGGAAGAAATGTATTCCTTCAAAGGCATGGAGATGGGAGAGAGAACAACATATATGAAGAATAAGTAATCCAATTTGACTGGGATGTAGCATGTACTGAGGACAGTAATGTTAAATAAGCCTGGAAAGCTTGACAGTGCCAGATTATAAAGGTTTTAAATGCCAGAGTAGTTTCTATCTTATTTTGGTGGGGAAAGCACTTAAGCTTTCAAGTATTATGTAAACGTGCATAATTATTGCTCATAAGCCACTTTGCCCCCTTCTTAGTAATCTTTCTTTTCTATGATTTGTTTTTCTTTATATTTCTTTTTTGTAACTCTTACCTTCTCTTATACTTCTGACAAACCCTGGCCTTCTTTTTCCCTTGTTCCATCATTATACTAAAATTACATTAACATATACAAGCTAAAAGGAAGGTGAGAGAACACTAATTCTAAATACTAGTTCATTATTAGAAGTGGTATTTTTTAATTAAAGAGGGAAAGTACTTATAACTTTTTTGATGAGTAAAAGATTAGTATGTTTTATAACTTATTTAGGTTTCAATTACCTCAAAAATTTTATTAGGCTTACTACTTATGTGTCAAAGTCTGAAAAGTGAATTTAATTATTTCGAGGCCAGCCATCACATAAGAACAAAATGAATATGAACACTATAGTTATAGAGTCACTGTGGCATAATAAATACAGTGCTGGCCTTAAAGTCAGTCAAATCTCACAACTTGACAGTACTTGTATGACCCTGGAAGAGTCACTTAACCCTTATATGTCTCAGGCAGCTCTCTCAGATGTAGCTACTAAGTCACAAAATCATATCTCTTATGCTATTAGAAATAACATAGCTACTTAATAGGTTTGTAGAAATATTATGGAATGTAAATCATTATTATCAACAGTTAAAAATAACAACGATCATTATCACACCACATATTTCTATTTTATTTTCTGGCATATTTAGGATAAAGAAAGATAGTGAAGCATACCTTAGAAAATGTACTTGACTTATACGTTGTTCGATTTCTTTATATGTAAATTTGAGATTAGCACTTGCACTATGTTCCATATGAAGCTATTTTTTTAAAGTGCTTTATAAACCCTAGATTGCTATATAAGTGTGAATTATTATTATTATTTAGATTAATCCACAGACATTTAAGGTTTGTTCTTCCAAGAAATGGAAAAAGAAAATGCTATCTAGTATCTACAAATATATAAAGGGATTAAATCATGCTATGTATCATTATCTGAGGCTTCGCTTGATATAAAGGAAGATAAAGGCATTTTCTTATTTAAATATATAAAACAATAAACCCACGAACCAACAAAAACCTCATACTTAAATAGAATATTGCTGTGTTGTTGTTTGTCCTTTGTTTTTGAAGAGGACTATTATATAAGAAGATGATGCCATGACATGCAAGTGAATTGGATATTTAAGTGAGAGAGGCCTGTGCAAAGTAATAGCCTCACTTTTTCCTCTGGAGCCATGCAGGTCCAGTGGCAAGATATAGATCAGCATGATGGGAGATGGTCCTGGATGTGGTTTTTTTAAGCAAGGGTCTTTAACAGGTCTCATTTTAACTGAGGAAACACTCATTCAGTGAGTAAGGCTTTCTAATACTTAAATAGAATAATGGAAGGAAGACATTTTTTTTCTCTCTTAAAACAACAAAAAACAATCCTGCAAAATAATCCTAAATTTCTCTCACCTAAAAGTCATAATATGTCCATTGGCACAGAAACATGCAAGGCAAACACTATTGCTCAATGCCACTATATCTCCACGAAGAACAAAAGAGGTCTCTGTTATATTTTGCTTATAAGCACAGTTCTGGGTTGGCAGTGAGATCACTTTTGCTTGCTTTTCAGAACAAATCACTGCATATTGGTTTTCACTGATTTCCTGAGAGGAAGAGGGAGATACAGAGACAGGTCTCCGTTTTTTCAACTTATCCTTTTCATCTTTTTCTTCAGGCACATTATATTCTCTCCAGGGTTCATAAGCCGGTGGCACTAAACATCCAGTGGTATCTAGAAATGCCATTCTTAAGATTCCCCCTTTTAATCTCAATATGGTACCTAGGACAAAGAAATTCATCAAATAATGTTAAATTACATTAACAAATTTCCCAATCTGAAATAGTTTTCCTGAATTTATTACCCAAAAAGATTGAATTCAAATGTCAGATACTAAAGTGGTTAAAGAGGAAAGAGAATTTCCTCAAGGTAAAGCATTAAAGAAAGAAATATTAATGGCAAATGTCACAATCTAATTAGAAATTATTTATTCTGTAAACTCAACTGCATCACTATTCAGTGATTTCCATGCCATTAAATTGGCATATTGGTTGAACTGTCCTAGAACTACTTCTTCATCAATATCCAGTTTTTCTCACAGGTTACTGTACTTTTATTAGAGGACCTAGAGGATGACTACAGAATTAATGGCTATAATCGTCTACAATCTAATCTCCAAATGAGATATCTCTATTTTTTTAGCTATTTGAAGAAAAATTAAAGACATATATATATATATACAAGGCATTAAGTCACCTAGTTTAGTAATAAGGCTTCTTTATTTCATATTACAACTATTTTTTCCTAAGAAATTATGAAATGTATTTTACCTCTTCATTTAGAAAAACATGATACAATAATTTGGGCAATGTCCTTAAATTCGCCTGCAAATATATCTGGAATTAATTTACTATTCCAGTTCTACCTTTCAAAAAGATATCTGTTTTCTGTTCTTCCAATTTTTATTCATTGCCTTCTGAAGCTCATAGGGGTTTTACCAGTCAAATGAAAGTATTTGAGCAGCTTGGTTAATTAAGTGGAATATATTAAGTTTGAAACCATATACACTACACACCAATATTTAATTCTTAGTGCATCCTAAGGTTAATTTTCTTTCTAGACCAATTAGTCATGTTCTTTACTATTTTAGAGACTCATTCTTTTATACATTTGTATTACATGTGATATGAAAGCTAAAAGCATTTCTGATAATTTTATTTAAGATTTCATGAATGATCGCAGAGTATATGCATGGGCTTTGGATAGCTAGACTTTTAAGTATGTAAAGTCCAAATAATAACTTAATTTAAAAGACTCATCTTGTGATTCATTAGAAACTTGTGTGCCACTATGCATCACAGAAGAGTGAAGGAAAATTTTGGCTTTTACTAGCAAGATGAGAGAGAACAAAAATTTGGAGTAGACATGTAGGCAACAGTATGTACTGCAAGACTGCTCCAAATCATCTTGTATAACACTATTCCTGGTCTTATTACAGAACTGTCAGTTACAACATGGTCTGATTAAATTGACCCCCACAGATCATACTATTTAAGTTACCAAAGCAAAAATCATGTCTGTTGTTGCTTTTTAAAAAATAAGGAATTTATAATTTTTACACGTTTAAATGCAAAAAAAAAGCTGTTTCCCATTTCTTCTCTATACTCAAACCACTACCATCTTACTTCAGAACCTCATCATCTTTTGATAAGATTATTCTTATTGCCTCCCAATTTGGTTTTCTGCCTTAAGTTTCTCATATTCCAATCCATCCTACACATAGGTGACAAAGCAATTTTCCTTAATTGTAAAATCTGATCATATAACTCTACTATTCAATTAACTCCAGTGGCTTCTTTTTGCTTCTAAAATAAATATAAATTCCTCTGTTAACTTCTAAAACCTTATGCAACATGGAACTAACCTACATTTCCAGCTTCCCTGGATAATATAGTTCCTCCCACATATTTCAGTTCAGTCAAACTGGCCTTGTCTCTGTTTTTTACAGATGACATTCCATCTCCCATTTCTTTAACTCTGCACTGACCACCCTCCCATGCCCAGAACATAATCCATCCTTAACTCCACTACATATAGTTCCTTTCTTCCTTTAAAACACAGTTCAAAGCACTTCTCTGCATAAAGCCTTTCCTCATTCTCTCCAACTGCTAGTGCTCTTCTTCCCAAAATGTTTTATATTTTATGCTGCATACATTTGCAGTTAGGTGATGCAGCAGATAAGAGTACCGGTTCCAGAATCAGTGAGACCTGATTTCAAATGTGGCCTCAGACACTTACTATCTGTGTGACCCTGGGAAAGACACACTTAATCTTGTTTGCCTTGGTTTCCTCATCTGTAAAATGAGCTGGAGAAGGAAATGGCAAACCACTCCAATATCTTTGCTGAGAAAACTCCAAATGGGGTCAAAAAGAGTCGGGCACAACTGAAAAATGGCTGAACAACAATAACAAATATATTTGCATTTATTTACTTTATACATATATATATATGTATATATATATATATATACATATATATATATATATATATATAAAATATATGTGTATGTTATATGTATGCATTTACAAATTTAATTGTTGTGTCCCCAATTAGAATAGGTGAGTAGAGAGTGTTTCATTCTTTGAATATACTCAGTGCCTAGCATAGCAGCTGGCATATAACAAATACAATAAATACTCGTTGATTGATTGAAAAAAAGCTTTTAGCTTCTAGATGGCAATACCAAGCCTTTGACTTCTTTAATATCCTTCAGAGAGTCTAGCACTATGCAAGTACACAGTGAACAATCAATTAAACTGAAAGAATGCATTAAAGTAAATAAGACTGAAATGCATTAAACAATCCGTAACTAACACACTAAAAGTATAACTTTATACAGACTCTATGCTTTATGCAGTATTTTGAAATTATTTCTAAGGAAATTCTAAAGGGTCAACATTTATGATTGAAGTGAAGTGTACTAACAATCAATACTTATGCAATTCAGGATAACTGGGTTAAAATAAACACTCTCATTCTTGTGGACTTAACTGTCTCCATCTATTAGGGTCTAGTGTTTATATAGTATAACCCAATTTTAAATATATGAAGACAATGACATATGTGATTTTTTGTTTGTTACTTTTTTTTTTGGTAACAAACATTTTGAATTATATTTTTCTCATACAGGGGAAAATTTCTTTTAAGCCTTCACATGCATAAAAAGCAAGCTCAGAATGGTCAACGATGAAGTTTATGTTCTGCCCGTTATTTGCTTTGCTTTGAAAAGCAGAACTTATTACTACGTTATTCTGTCCTAAAACAATTATGTCACTCAATAATAATAATTTTAGTCAACATTCATAAAAAAATGTTTGTAAGCTCTTTTCTCAAGTCCTGTGTCATATATAGAAAAAAATATCCTTACTAAACTCTTCAATTCTTGGGATCAATTGATTATGAAAATAATAATAATAATGAAAAGAAAGTCTCCTATTTAAACCCAACATTGGAAACCTGTACAGGTTATAAATACGTTCATCAGAAATACTTACCACTTGGAGACACAATGACTGGCTGAAGGAGTCTTGGTTCTCCACATGGAGGAACATTCAGTGCAATGACAAGCACTGTACCTAAAGTTGTCCCAACCCATAAGCATGGGGAAGGCGAAGAATCAGTCTTGCGTGTGTAGGTTTCACAGAAATGAAGAGCAGAAATTGCTTCTCGAGATTCTTTGTCAATACTGGTTACACTTGAACTCCGTGACCGACTGAAGGAATTGTCTTTTATATCTGAAACAACCATAAATTTGTTCAATATAAATGGGTCAAATAAGAAAATGGCAGGTATTTTTGCATGAACTCATGCCTTAAGATTAGTTTCCTTACAATTGAAAATTATGATTTATGTTTTATATGATTTAGTGTTTTTAATTGTTTTGATTATTTACACGATAGATTAAATATCCACTCTGACTGGTACCACTAGGTATCTTTGCTTGGATAAACTGCTCTATTTCCCTAACAAATATGTACATAATCAGACTCTAGATCAACTCCCATTTAAGGCTATACCATCCTTCTAATTACCTCATATTCCCAATCTTGGAGCTGTACTCAGTGCTTTGCTTTCTAATCCCACCCCCATAGCCAATTAAGTTGTTAAGTCTTGATGAGTCTATGTTTACAAAATCTTCTGTTTCCATCTCCTTCATTATTCACCTGGACTATCATGATAGCCACCTACTTGTTGGTCCCCTTGCCTCTACTTTCTCACCCTCATCTTCTACATAGTTCCCACATTGATACATCTACACATCATATCTGACCATGTCAGTGCCCTGATTGAGAAGTCACAAAATTCTTTTCCCTCTAGGATAAAACACTTGGGCACTTAAACATTCACAATCTTTCTTCAACCTGTTTCCAAAATCCACTTACCCTAATTTCCCCTCATGGTTCAAGCCAAACTGGCCTACTGGCTATTCCCTGTATGTGACACTTCCATCCCTGTGCCTTTGTAGTGGCTGTCTTCCATGCCTTGAATACTTTCTCTTCTCATCTGTTTCTTACTGCCACTAATGAGCAGAAAGCTTTTCTGATCCTCCAAGTATTAATGTCTCCTCCCCCTCAAAATTACTTTACTTTGAAAATATTTTGTATTTATCCCTATGTATACTACATACAATTTTATAGTTGGAACGGAGCTCAATATCTATCTGGTCCAATCAATACCAGATAATTAATCTCCATTAAAACTTTTGAGTGCCTATTGTTTCATGCTAGGAGAGTGTAAGAGCCCAAAGGTAGAGACTGATTCTCTTTTTTGTCTTTGTATCTCCAACACCCAGCATGGTATTTGCTAATAATAGGGACTTAATAAATATTAATTGCCTTAAACTGAATCAAATTATAAATCAACAAACATTTGTTAGGTGTGTACTATTTGCAATGTGTTCATAGATGGGCAAAGATAAATAAAAGACAGTTCCTGTCACTTAGGAACATACCTCTAGAAACTTTTCCTGATGCCACCCATTAAATACTAATTTTTCCTTTGAGTTTTTTTTTAACTGCAGTCTTGTCATATATACTCTGCATTATAATTATATTATATCTGTCTTATCTTCTATTTAATCTTAGAAAGGAAATATAATTTAATTTTAGAACACAAAGCAGACAATCAAACTCTAATAACTTCTACTTACCACACAGGATAGAGTAATTCACAAACCTAATTGTACACGCTTTACTGGAGACACTTATTTTTTAGGGTTGGAATATATACTTCTTTTTATATTACAGAAAAGAAAAAATTAAAAGACATGTTTTTATGATTCATATTTTAAAGTCTTCCATTCCCTATTTTGATGCCTTTGTTGTATAAAAATGACTTGAAGGCAATGCCAGTGGAGCAAAAGCTCTGGAAGATCCTGTACTACTAGAAAAATTTCAAGTTTAGTTCAGACAAGAGACTACCTACTGTCAAGGCACAGCCCAATTATGTATAAAAAGGCTCACCAGAAGCTCAGGCCACTTAGTGGCATAGCAACCCTACTGACCCTTAGGTCTGTAGCCTCTTTTTATTTCTGCTATGACAGAATGTCATAAAAGCATGCCCGTTTAAAAAAATCATGGATAAAATTAACTTGGTAATTATTAATTAATATACAATTTAGTACACTAAATGAATACATGGGAAAAAAACCATTTACTAAGCACTCATTACGTGCAAAGCACAAAGTACAAACAGAAAAGCAAGTCTTGCTCTTAAGGAGCTCACGTTCTAATAGAGGGAGACAACACACATGGTAGGTTTTAGCTGCCAGTTGGATGGAAAGGCCCAGTAGTCCTCAGGATATAGTGGCAAAGCAGATACCTGGCAATGTGTCTTTGATGGTTGAAAAGAGTTTGGAAGTGAGAACTTTCTTTTCTGGGTCTTCAGTAACTGTATCTACTGAGAAGATCAGGGAAAGGAGGAAGCTATAGCATACACAGAAGTCTAATAATCCTATCCAATGACACAGAGGATATACTAGTGGAATTAAATCTATTAATGTTAACACTCTCACTATCCCTATTCCTGGAAAGAGAGAAGGAAACTTCAACTAATAGAAGGCTGGTTTACTGGTTTTCCTTGTAGGGTAAACAGAGGGATTTTTAAAAATCACTCTTTTACAGGCAACAAAAATACAATTTCATAGGACATTTGATCACTTTGTAATTGTAGTCTATGGTTCAACATTTGTTACAGATTATAAAAAGGTAAATTTTAGAAAGAATTAATTAAGACCTTAAAATTAACTCCTTTTGATGCTCAGTAACTTTAATGCAAAGGTGAGTACAGTCCCACTTCCTTCATCAAAAAACTGACATTCCTATCTGACTTTCAGATCTACTTGTTCAGTCCTAACTTCCTTCCCAATTTCCAGTCTTGTATCTCTAACTGCCTTTTAACCGCCTCTAACTGGATGTCCCTTAGATATCTTAATTCACATATACAAAACTGAACTCATCTTTATTCCCCAAGCTTTCCTTCTTCCTAACTTTCCTAATATTGCTTAGGGCACAAATATTCTCCCAGTTATGCAGTCTCACAACCTAGCTGTCATCCTTAATTCTTCACTCTCCTCTCCATATCCAATCTGTTGCCAAGTCCTGCATATTTTACCTACATAACATCTCTCATATATGCTCCATTCTCTCCTCTGACATAGCCACCACCCTGGTGCAGACCTTCATCACCTCATGCTTGGATTACAGCAATAGGCTGCTAATTGGTCTCCTAAACTGATCTTAAAAAACACAAATCTCACTGTACTCTACTACCTCCAGTATCAAACATAAAATCTTCTCTCTGGTTTTCAAACAGGTCTCTACACCTATCTACCTTTCCAGTCTTCTTGCACCTTATCCCTTCCATCAACTCTGTGATCCAGTGACACTGGGCTCCTTGTTCTTCTTTCTTAATCACAGCACTCCAACTGCCAATTCCAAGCATTTTTACTGGTCGTCTCCCATGCCTAGAGTGCTCTCTCCACAAATCCACTTCCTAGCTTCTTCAGCTTTCATCAAGTCTCAGTGGAAGTTCCACCTTCTGCAAGAATTCTTTCTCAGTTCTCCTTAATCTTAGTGTTTACCCTTGGATACAACTATGAATTTATTTTACACCCCCCCCCCTTTATTTGTAAATAGTTGTTTGCCTTTCTTTGTATCCTCAGCATTTAGCACAGTACTTGGTGTATAGTGTGTATCTAATAAATGCTAGCTGACTGACATTCATCTATCTCTTCCTTTGTCTCACTCATCCTAAACCTATTATTTGCTCTTATGGTGAGCTCCAACCTTTCCACCCCTCAATACTTTCTCAGGCATTACCCTGAGTTCACTTTCCACCCTTCCCAATCTTGATCCTATACTCAACCAATTTAACACCAAATTATTTTACAAGGGATCATCACATCTTCAGTCACAGGTTCAGAAAATAAAAGGTTCAGAAAATACAAGATCCCACTGTGGTTATTTGTTGAGGATAAAAAGGCACTCAATTCAGCCCACCAAAACACTGGTTTAAAGGCTCTCCTACAACAAGGTGTTCCTTACTCATACATTAAGATCCTAAAAAATTCCTTAATAGATGCATAAGTGATAATTTTGAGCAAAGACTGTCCGATTGCTTATACAAAGCTTATATAAAGCTTCCTATACTCCTGTTTGCAGGTGATATTGTATTGGTCCCATCAATCTCTGGAACACTGCAAAAACTCTTAAGGATCTCACGATCCTTCAAAAGAGTTTGACATAACTACTCACATAAGAAAAACCCATTCTATGAAGAAAGCCTATTAACTAGATTGCATATAGAATTTTATCGGAAGCTCATAGAGATGGTTCCTCAATCCTATATCTCAGAGAGCTGTAGTAGCCAGTAAGTGAAGTGAATAGCAATAAGAGAGTACTTGGGCAATTCACAGCTCTTTCAATTACTAAAGTTTCTTCCTAAAACAAAAAAAAACCCTTTTTTCCTTTTTTTTAAAAAAAAATTTCTGGGGGCAGCTAGGTGGTGCAGTGGATAGAGCACTAGCCCTGAAGTCAGGAGGACCTGAGTTCAAACCCGGCCTCAGACCCAACACTTGACACTTACTAGCTGTGTGACCTTGGGCAAGTCACTTAATCCCAACTGCCCAAAAGCCAAAAAAAAATTTTTTTTTGAGGCAATTAGGATTAAGTAACTCGCCCAGGGTCACCCAGCTGGTAAGTGGCAAGTGTCTAGTCTGAGACCAGATTTGAACTCAAGTCTTCCTGACTCCAGGGCCGGTGCTCGATCCACTGCACCACCTAGCTGCCCCAAGAAACCACTTTTTAAAGAAACATTCTTCCAGTAATGCTCTATGGCTGCAAATAATGGAATACCACAAAGAATGTAGATTACCAAAAAGAAAATGGTGAAATTTACAACAGGCACCAACAGGTCACAGATTATTTATGAAACAATGAATTTTAAGCAAAAGTGGCATCAAAGTTATCAAAACCATGCATTCCTGAATAGAAAGTTGGTCAGCCATCTGGCTAAAGTGAGAAACAACAGATCACATACTGTATATTGCTTAGGTACACACACAATGTCAAGAGTCACAAAGGAAGATCCACAGCCAATCTGATGATCACTCCTTAGAGGTTTTACAGGAAGACATGGACAAAAGTAGCAGAGGATGAGAAAACACAGTTAGGTTATATCACTATTGGAAGAAATTCCCACATTGATGAGATCTCAGATACACCAAAATATTATTTTTAAATAATCTGTGGTTTATTATGACAACACATTCTACTAGATGAGTCCATAATACAACACTATTAACTCTGGAATACATTAGTCAAGGGACTTTAAGCATTTACAAAGGGAAACAGTAATTTATTTTTTAAAAGGTAGCATGGCTTCAATGAGAATAAGGCACACCAAACTAATCTCATTTTGAGGGGACAGTTATTAAATTATATCAAGAGAATGCCAGAGATTTGGATTTCCACAAATAAAGTTACTTTTGCCAACTTTGTGGACAAAATAGAGAGATGTTGCTCTCTTTATCAGGTTGATAGGCTCCTGTTTAGCTTTTAAAGCCCTTCAAAACCTTGTCTAAATCATTTTTCCAACATCATTAGACTCTCCTGCCCTTGGCAATCCAGCCAATCTTCTCCCTGTTGCTCCCACATATGTCATTCCATTTCCTGTTTCCATGTCTTCACTCAGGCTTTCTCCTCATACCTGGAATGCATACCCTCCTTACCTCCACTTCACAGATTCCCTCACTTTCTTCAAGACATAGCTCAAATGAGACCTTCTACATGAAGCCCTTCCTGAGCCTTTCAAGTGCTAGCGCATTCCTTCTCAAACCACCTTGTATTTAACTACTTCCTTATTTATTTGTATTTATCCTTTTTAGATTTGCTCTGTATATACTTGTATATGAATTTGTTGTTCCCATCAGAAAGTAAACTCCTTTTAAGTAGAAATTATTTCATTCATTTTATTTGTATCTCCAGTCATTAGAACAGGGCCTGCCTAGTACATAGTAGGTGCTTAATAAATGGTTGTTGATTAACTGATTATATGATAGTTCAGTTAAACAGACTTAGAAGTGAACAAATCACCAAACCCCAAATGTTGTCATTAATTGATCCGAGTGATTCCGTTGGATCATCTCTAAGCAGAATACTCTGGGAATCTGTTCTGATTCCTTACTGGCTAACATTTTTATCAATAACATTGACAAAACATAAGTGGCATGTTCAAATTTCCAGATGACATAAAATTCAGAGGGATAGCTTATGTATTAAAAGAAAAAGTCAGGACCTAACAATATCTCAAAAGACTTGAAGACTAGGCCAAAACATAATAAGAAGCATTTAATGGGGACAAATATAAAGTACCATATTTGGGTTAAAAAATAGTAACAACTACAAAAGTACAGAATGAGGGAAGCACAGCTAGACAATTACGCATGTGAAAAAGATTTTAGTCTTATGTATTTTCATTTATAATAAAAAATAGTCACCTCTCATATTTGAATTTTAGGATAGAAAAGATTGATCAGGAAATTCTGAAAATCTGAGATGTTCCTTCAGCCCATTAACAGACACATATACCTGCTACTGAGAGAACTGTAGGATAGGCCATTTACAAGAAGTACTGTCAAAATTATTTTAATATTTTCCAATTATGGTGATTGGAAGTACTATAGATGTAATTTATTTTTACTTACCTAAATCAGGCTTCAGCTCTGTAGGTAAACTTAACTTTCTTGACATCTTGGCTGTAAAATAAAATGTGACTTTAAATTCAGAAATACGTGTGTAGTTCAGATATATACATACATACATACATGTACACACATTTATATATATATAATTTAAAAAGACCCTTTATTTAGTCTTTAAAATTAGTTGAGGCTAATTCTTTTCACTAACTCTCAATGTCATAACCAGTAGTCTTTTCATCTATAAGCAGATTGTTTTATAAGTGAACATATTTTTCATTCTATGCATGAAAAGCAGTATCTTAGAATGCTATAATCCTATATCCATACCCAATTATGAGAATTGATACAATTATTAATTTCTTTATATAATAAAGATATTATTTGTTTCCAAGGAATAGTTAGTTATTTATGGTTCTTATAACTATCAGATTATTGCTCGCAGATCTCACTTTTGCACTTCCTAGAAGTTAATACCTACTCAGTTGCTCACTTTTACTAGTATCTTTGACAAACTACTCTTACCTTGCTTCTAGCTAGCCATCTAGAAATTATTTTAATCATTAATTTTTAATTATCTCTTAAATATCACAGGTTTTTTCCTCATCCTTACTTGTTTGTTCATTTTTCCCAATTATATGTTAAAATAATGTGTTTAACATTTTAAAAAAGTTTTGAGTTCCAAATTCTATTCCTCCCCCTTTCTCTCCCCCCTCCCTGAGACAGTAAGCAATAAGATATGTTATACATGTGCAATCATGTAAAACATTTACAGCAAGGTTTTAATTGGCAGAAAATGGTAGTTTTACTCAGGTTGATGATTCATCCCAAGATGGATGGAGTCAAGGGAGGGAAAGGAAGGTAAAACTTGGAAACTTTTCAGTTTCTCTCAAATCTTCATAGTATATCTTCATTATATTTGAATTCCCAGAACACAGCATACTTTCATTCTGCTGTATATACACAACATCCAAAGTCAAATCAAAATGAGTCTTTTGAGGAGTCACCACTTGAGATGATCCATGCTTCTAATGCCATTTTCAGGGAGGAAAGTAAGAACAACTAACATTTATTTAGCACTTTATACAGTTTGTAAAAGTTTTATATCCATTATCTAACTGGAACCCTACCAGTAGTATTACGGGTAGTGGGGACAACAGGTATGGTCTCCATCATCCACAGATGATGAAAACGAGACTCAGATTAGTTAAGTATGTTGCCAATGGCCACAGAACTAGTAAGGGTCAGAGGCAGAATTTGAAACTAGCTCTTCTAAGTCCCAATTCTTACACTTGATACACTATGCATTACTGCCTTTATGGTGAAAAAATCTAATTACATGGTAATACTCAACTTAATAATGCAGTTAATAAAACAAGAACATTTTCACTTCTATGCTTGCTCAATACTAGTCTAGTAGAGAAACCTGTGCATATTTTATTTTCTTTTTATCCAACTATATTTGTTACCAATTGTGATTTCAAATTAGGGATAGTTGAAATGTCTACAACTAGCTGTTAGAGTACATGCAATACAAATAATGCTTTCTAGCAGAAATGTGGGGAATTATTTTTCTGTTGTTAACACACTAATGAATCCCTCAGGAATAAACTTAAGAACCTTTAAAAAATAAATCCTGCTATATCTCCTCATAAATGAGATGTATGCAAAGTGTATGGTCATTAAGAAGATACTTTCTATATCTCAAGGAATGACTTTAAATCAAAGCTAGGATAATGATATTTAGGTAGGTTTTGGAAAGAGAGGTAGCACAGTGTACAAGGTAAAAAAAACAAAAACAAAAACAACAACAACAATAAAAAAAAAACATTAGCCTTGGAACCAGGAGGACCTAAATTTAATTCCTATCTCTGAAACACACTGGCTGTGTGACCCTGGGCAAATTGTTTAATATCTTTTGTGCTCTAGATAACTCTCTAAGACTACAGGTTGAAGAGACGATGCAGTTATATAACTTAGTACATAGAGTTTCTTCACTGAAGGAGTTCCTGATAACAATTAAAAGGGTAGTCTCTATCCCTATCCCTTGAAAAAAGAAGGATGAAAATTAAGTATTAATCTCACAGTTTAGCAAAACTCATATTCCTTTACAAGAAATGGTGAAATTTAGGATTCAGTCTGGTACTATGTACTTATACAAAATATATTATTCATAAACAGCATTATTGCAATGTTATATGTGTAACTCATACCCTTCTGTTTTTTAAAGTCTAATAATAACACCATATATTCACATAGCTACTCATATGTTAAGTTCACATTCAGTTATATTATAGCAGTTTACAAATCTGCTATGTTATAGTAGATTTAACATTTACAAATCACTTTTACATGTCTTCTCTTCCTGGATCCCCAAAGCAACTCTATGAGATCTTTATACAGGGCAGATTACCACCATCCTAAAGAAGAATCTGAAGCTCAGAGATGTTATATGATTTAAATAAGATCACACAGTTAATAAATGATAGAAGTGAGACCAGACTCCAGGCTTTCTGACTTTTGCCTAGTGCTCTCTATACTCTACTGCATGGCTATTCACAGAATCTAAGAACTAGAAGGGCTCTCAAAGACCATTTAGTCCAATCTAACTCAGGAATCCTCTCTTATGACAGCCACAAGTGGTCATCCAGCCACTGTTTGCAAACTTCTAATGAAAAGGAACTGAGGCAGGCCAATGCTATTTTTGCATAGAATTGTTAGGAAAATTTGCTTTATACTGAGCCTAAATTTGATTTGATTCTTTGACAATTCTACCCACTGTTCATGATTCTGTTCTATGGGGAAAAGTATGTATGTATGCATGCATGCATGTATGTGTATATATGTATATACACATACTACATATATAATATACATATATAAAATTGCTGTTCATAACAAATCTTCAAATACTTGAAGACAGCTACCATCACTCGTGGGCAGACTAAATATGCCCAGTTCCTTTACAAGATTCTCAAATTGCACATTCTCTTGCTACTCTGGCAGTTACCTTCAGGATATACTCAACTTTGTTTAAGCACTTCCTAATATCTGATGCCCACAACTGAACTCGGTGTTCTAGATACGGCGTCACCAGGCAAGAATATAACGGAACTATTACCTCTCTCATTCTGGACACTATGACAGACTTAGTAAAGTCTAGCACTAGGTTATTTTTGGCTACATAGAAGGTAGGAAGGAACAAGATTCAAAGCAGGCTGACCATACCTATTAATGTCATTACTCGGGAACCAAAATATAAGACATCACACAGAGAAATCAAGAATCATTAAAAAACAAAACAAAACAAACAAAAAACCCCCAAACAAAACTGGCTAATGAGGTTAGCTAATGACAGCTTAAATGTATGACCCATGGACACTGCATTAATGCTCATTTTCTACTATGTGCAGAACTATACTAACGGAAGACATATATTAAATGAAGTTCCCTTACACAGCTCTCTAGTAACATATAGAATGCATGAATACATGAATCAATTAAAAATATTAGGCATTTATTATGTGCCAAATACCATACTAAGAATTAAGGAGACAAATAGAAAAGATAGCCCTAACTCTCAAAGTGCACATATTCCTATTGAGGAAGACAATGACAAATAAAAGAGTTCAGCTTTAAGGCAGATGGAAAGGCTGAGGAGTCCTCAGGATGTATTAAGGTGCCTGCCCATATAAGCAACCACCCCATCATTAGGGGGAAGTGTACATAAGGGCCAGAGTAGAGAAAAGATTCTAGGTTACCTCTAGTAGTGGTGGAAAAAGGGGAGAAGGGTCTTTGGTGGTAGGAAAAACATTATCAAGAAGATCTAGGTTAAGTTCTGGGGCAGGAGATGGAGAAAGTGGTCCTTCTTGGTACCAGATGTGGATGGGGCCCTCCAGGTACGTGGGTCTTGGGTATTTAGGGGTAGGGATAAGGGACTTTTGCTTGATGCCTGAGTACCCTAGCCACACCCAATAGGGTCTGTGAAGAAAGGGAAATGAAAGCTTAAACAAAGTTTAATGGTGTTTAGAAATTCTAAGAAATTGCTAAGCAATGAAAATATTCTAATTCTCAGTTTACTTTAAAAAAATAAAAAATACAACTGCAAATAAAAATATAAATAATGTTAGTAACTTGATGCCAGGCCAATTTTCATGTTTCAAACACCAAAATTAAGTCTACAATAAGTAAAAAAAAAAAATCTTCCCAGTGAAATGGGAAGACAAAAGAAACATTTTTTTATTTCCTTCCAATTCAGTTGCTATGATCACAGAGATAAAGGACAAGATAACAGAGAAGATGAGGTATTAACACATTAAAACAAAGTATAAAAATGTATCTCCCAATCTCGCCTCCACAATTTCTTTAGGAAAAATGAAACATTTTCCTGACTAACGTAAAAAGGGATTTTGGCATTGGCTGATTAAAGCCCTTTAAAAAGCTGAGCTAGCTAGCCCCAGAAGAAGCTGTGAGTAATTGAAGCATAGTGCAGAAAGGGGGGCAGTTTGTGGCCATACAGAATTGGAGGGATGAGGAAGAGGGGAAAGATGATTTTCTCTTCTACTCTGCCTTTCCCTTCCATCAGTCATGGCATTTTGCAGAGGAACTAGGCCCACTAGTAGATACTGAATTCATAAGGGAGAAGAGATACAGAAACACAGTAGGTAGTAGCTTTAAGGAATGTGACCAGTGGCAGCAAAGTAGAGAGCTAACTATGTATTAAAGTGAGAACTAGCTCTGGCAGCTGAGAAACAAACACAGGGAATCCAGGTGAGAAAGGCTCCTGAAAGACATGTTGAACCAAGAAAGGAAAAGGGTAGGAACATCAGGACCAATGTTCTGGAGCACTAGAGGCCTCAGTTATCTTGTCTATTTGTGTTCTCTATAAACGTGCTCACTACCAGCATACTTTAAATTTGTGCCCATTCTTCCCATGAAAACTTTCCAAGATGTTTTGTAGCTACTATCCCTACTACGTCATTTTAGTAAATGCCTTTGCTTTGAACTGTGTCTACTGGATCACTATTAAAGGTAAGTTTTAACAGACCTTAAATTTT